CATGGAATTGACTGTGAAGGAATCATTATTTTCAAAATCCAAAATCAAGTATCCCTTTCATCTTGTGTAGAATGACATTCACAATTTTTCTACAAGATTATTCTACCCTAAAAGCTTATTCCTTACTAAAGCCTGTCTAAAAGATACGTTAATAGGAATAGAGCTAAGGTAGAATCCACTGAAAGCCCTAGTGTAGTTTTGGTAATTGAGTGCCAAGTGCCAACCATGTGGACTAATGCTTGCAATGAGTTTGTTTTAGCTAGGGTCCACTTTGTAGCACCCGGTTTTAAGGACAAAACCAGATACACACCATATATGAGCCCAGAAAGTCAAATCTCACATATAGCTACAAATAAAAGTAATATCAATAGACAATGCTTAATATATAATATACTTAGTATAAAGGATATAACCTTAGACAGCAAACAGCGGAAAGACAACTCTGATCTTTGGGTGAAGACTCTAATTTCATAGGGACAACTGACTGGTTGATCACAAGCCTAATTCCTCCAAACTCTAGCAATCTGGTACCCATCCAGTATTTTTTCCAAATATGTAAAAAATAAAGCAAGCGTAAGTACATGTCGTACTCAACAAATATAACATGGGGTTCATGAGGCTCAAAAGCCTGACACTGGTTTAACTACGATTAGCTTTTAATGAGTTATGATTTTAACAATAGGGGTAGCAACAAGTTTATCACAAGTCCATATAAACACATGATCAGGTAAACATGAATAATGAATAGCATAAACAGTAATCATTAGTGAGCATCTTCATCATTAGTGTTCATCATCATTAACCATTAATGATCACCTATTCCGTAAATGTTCCAAGGCCGCTCGTAACCGTGAGCACGGCTGATATACCAGTTTTACACTCTGCAGAGGTTGTACACTTTCACTATGAGTCATGATTTACCCTTTCGCCCGAGGTGATTAGCCTCTTGACCCACTACCTAGAAAGGTCGGCAGAGTTCATTATGAAGCCTTTCAAAGGTTTGTCTAACAAGTTAGGGCCGCTAGATTCACTCGGCAAACAGATATAGGAACCCCCTATCGAATGGCACAATTCTATCACGACTATACACATAAGAGTATAGGCTGTCCTATATCCGATTCGGCAAGACATTCTTACGCCAATAAAGGTAACCACTAACAAGCTAGAAAAGGTCCTCATACTGAGCTAAAGCCAGAGCCATGTAACCCTCATAGCTGTACTATAAGTCCCGGATGATCACTTACAGATAAGTCCTTAGGGAGAGAAATCTAGAGCACCATAAAAACAGCCCAATGCTCTAACCCCCTGATTCCATATTGCTAAAAGCATCTTTTAGTGTTTATTGCATATTACATTAGTCAAGTTACAAGACTATGGTTGTAGTTGAGCACTAGCATCATACTACCCAATACATATTCCAAAGGAGACAAGGTATAAGTTCAATTTTAGAAAATCTCTATCAAGGTAACACATGCAATATGAATTAAATGTATTAAAGTTGATAGGAAACAAGGATGATCCCATGCTATACTTGCCTTAAACTCAGATCGTTCTTCTAGTCCAAACCTTCAAAGATCTGCTTCTTGATTCACCACGTATAGCTCACCGACTGGACATGATTATAGAGCACCACACAAGCATCTATGCAATCATACAAGAAGCAAACAACAGAACTAAATCAGAACAGTACACTAAAAATATAAAACAAGTAAAAAGGTTTTAAAGATGTTCTACACGTTACTACGAACACACGGACGCAAAAAGCACGCTAATCGAAGCTATAACGGAAAAGTTATGAACTAAACAAGATTTTCTTTAATAAAATAATAGATTAAATTTTAACCTCGAATTTTAAAAGTTGAAATTATATTTAATAGTAAGATAAACATGTAGATTACTCCATTACAAATCTAACGCAACTTGAATGGGTCAAATTGGAGTTAAAACGGAGAAGATATGGCCTAATAAAGATAGTGTCAATTTTGTAAATAGATGGAACTTGATTTTTGAATTTAAAATAAATAAAATCTGATTTTAAACCGGCAAAGGACTGTGGGTACTATTTAAAGAAAAGACAGGGACTCTTTAACAAAATTGCAGGGACGGCGGGTTCTATTATACAAAAATGCGAGGGCTCTTTTGCAAAACGGTCGGCGAAGGGGTATCTTCTAATCTAGGCCGTTGATCTCAGATCGGGCGGTGCAGATCAAATGGGAGAATGGGGGTCGCCAGAGCGACGCTGTGCGCGGCGGTGCCATGGCCGAAGAGCAGAGAACCTTACCGGCGTACTTGAGGAAGGACCTATGGGCCACGGCAGAGTGACGGAGAGCACCGCGAGGTAGAGGAGAGCAAGGCGAACTCACCACGATCGATTACCGCGGCATGGGCCGGACTGAGAGAGAGGAGAGATGGAGCAGGCCTTCGGGCCATATTAAGTGAGGGGGAGGATTTTCCATTTTTAAACCTTTCCTATTTTCCTTTTTCAATCCAAATTCAAATATGATCCAAATCAAATTCAAATATAGTTTCAAATATACTTTTTAATTCAAATAAAAATGAGCAATTTTAGTAAATTTTCCAAAAATAAATCTTACAACTTTTTAAATTCTTTTATTTTCTAATTTTCTTTTCTTTTCTTTTATTTCAAAGCCATTTTCAAAAGCATTTTGAAATCATTTTGAATTTTGGATTCAACCACTCATTGCAATAAATCAAATGCACCGGCTTGTATGCACATCGATGTTGCTACTCCTTATGATGAATTTTAATATAATGAAAAATATTCTTTTTCCTATATTTCATATGCACAAAAATTCATAAATAAATCATTTTAATCCTATTTTCAAAGTTAAAATTTTTAGGGTGTTACACACTTGATGGTGATGAACAAGGCATAGGCGATGGTGGAGATGGGAATTATGGCCATATGTGTGCAACTGTTCATCCTTTAGAGAGAAGATTGTATGGAAAGCAAGCCTGAAGGCAAATGTATAATATTAGGGTTTTGCTTTCACCAACCAAGGTGCAATAGAGTGCCTAATTAGGTTTAGGATAGATAGCCGTATTATAAAAAGAGGAGCTCTTAAGTGACAACTATTATCTAGTGCCACTAAGTGTGACTAACATTTGCATATGCATTACGACTTAGTGATGTGGTGAGGCTGCAAGAGAAAAGCTTAGGAAAATATTTGGAAAATACTAACTCACATGCACAAAAATGTTGGAACACTTGGAGGAAGTTAGCACATTGAAACAAACTTTGAAAATGAAGTTTTGGGGCTATCTTGTGCCTCGCCGGATTTATCCGGTGACCCTCTAGAGTTTTGGCACCAGATAATGAGGTACATGTAAAAGCCCACACGAAGTACTGCTCATAGGGTATTTGGGCTGGGCTGGAGTGCCTAGTGGTTTGACTGGCAGCCCAGGCTAGTCAGCCCTGTTTGACGCACAGGAGCAGGTGAGTTCAAAAACCCACGAACGCATTGACCCTGTTCGCGTGCCTTTAAATTCAACTTAAATCTATGTTTTTTTTCATCTGAAACAGTGTTTTCCTCTTACAAATTCTTCTATAATTCTTCCAAACTATCCAAATTCCTTCGGAATAAGGGCAGCCGAACACCCCCATTATTCGGTCCTTGGACCTTGTGTGCCATCGGAGAGATAGCTCGCACTGTTTAGTGCTTGGGCCCGCCGGATAGCAATGGCTGGTTCGCTGCATTGACTCAAAACGTTTAACGCTTCTCCGTCATCTTTGCGTACGGGCGAAAACGGAGACCGAATCCGTTTAAAGTGGTTCAAATCTGTCCGTATCCATGTTCGGATATTCAACATCCGATACTGTATCCGTATCCAAATACTCAAATCGTATATTTATAATGTCAATATCTAATCGTATCCTATCCAGCATGACTGACACTATTCGTATTCGAATCCGAACATAAATATAAAAACAAATATAATATCAGTAATATCCGTTCGTATCCGATCTATTTTCATCCCTACGTACACCTCACTTTCTATCCCTTGTTATACTTGCTCTAACCTAACCAAACAGACGGGGATCCACGAGCCTTCCTTCGAAGGAGAGGGGGCTGGCGGTCTAACCGGCGAGAGCACCTGGACCTGCCAAACTCTTCACCGCCTCGGAATCACCTCCTCTCTGCTATAGCAGAGGAAAAGGAGATGGATCTTGATAGTTCATCTCCTTGTTCACGTTTCCTCTCCTGGCCGCCGTGGCCGATCAGCAATGTATTTGCACATTAATGAGCAAGATGGAATCACCACTCGTTCCTCCAATTCCAACTATATAGGATACAAACTGTCGCCATAGTAATGGCATGAACACAAAACTGTACTTTGATTGTGCTCTCATTTTAATATATACATAATAAACTCCCTATTAAAACTAGGGAAGTCTTCAACTCAAGTATATGCAATTTTTACAATACTAAAACCATACTTGACGGAGTAGGATTTCAATGGGACATGAAAATTGTTCAGATATGCTCAAAATGGCTACTTTAGATAACAAAGATCGTGAACACACTGGAGAAACAACCTGACGACCTCCTCTTTCTCCTCAATACATTTATATCTCCTGTTTTCTTATGTTGTTCTTCCCACAGCATATTGTTTTTTGTGGGAACCACCAGCATGTTGTCGTCTGGTCCTACAGACCAGCGCCATCACAAAAATGAGAAGGCACATAAGAAGCAGCTGCTATATGTATGAACATTGGTGTACAAGCCTCACATGGAGTGTTTCCTTGGATGTGTCAAATATAAAATAAAAACTATATGAAGCCGGGGCCTTTCAGCTTCACTTGCTGCGCTTCGGATCAAACTCGACACACGTATCCGCAGCTGTTTTCATATGTACTCAGGAAAGTACATAGATGTAAAAAAAATTGAACTTCTTGATGAATTATACAATGCACTTGCACTTTTGTGGACCATGTGTACAATATGCAGCTGTTCTAGCACCATGTACTGACCTAAGTTTTAGTTGATGACTCTACAGAAGCTGTACGCAAAATACTGCATCGAAACCTTTTTCCCCATTTTTGATCTATTAGATATACTCTTATAATGCCATGATACCAACTCAATACATGCACATTTACATAGCAATTAAGCTGCAGGAAAATTCAAGTGAGAATACCTGGATGATGTTGGTAACTTGTTTCACTGCCCAACCAACTAGAGTTGAAATAAACACCAAGACAGTGAGCGGACCTTGCTTCAGGACACCTCTGCATGCCTGTTAAAATGAAACCGGAACATCACATCTTAAGCAACTCCACTGGTTAATTGAGGAGGGAACTATCGAAATGATGGTATATTACACTAAGCAAGCTTGTCGATTTCTCATCAGCAAAGAGAAAGAGGATAATATATAAAACCTGTAAATTTGGAGAAATTGAAGAATTATGTGTTAGGGTGAAATATACAGGATTGTGTAAAAAGATTGCTGGATTTGCTGAGTGCTGACATATTGTTTAATTCACTAATCACTATAATGTTGATCGCCCACAAATTTAATGTCTGAGCATATTGCAAAGTATAAGTGAACAACTGAACATACCTCACAAGAAACACAACAGAATGCCATAAATGGCCTATACTCATAATATACTTTCAGAAGCCAATTCCCTGTGTTCTTTACATCCTTGTGGCTAGTCTTACCTGACAAGAAAGAACTAGTACAAAAAATATATCATTAGATAAGTTATAACTAGCAAATAATAAACAAGAAGAGATTCTTAACATATGCACCATGAAATCAACAGATTATTCTTGAAAAAATAATTATTCAGATTTATTATGTTCCATCTGCTATCATTGAGTACAAGATTACACACTGACTAGAAAAGAACAAAATGGGAACTAGCGGGAATTGAACAAAATGGTAGCAAAAGTTAACCTGTACATTTGAAACCAGTGGCTCGTAATATCCAACCCAAGCAGCATCAAGAAAACTAAACCAGGTCTATAAAAATATTTGCAATTAGAATTTGCACTGGGTATCAAGATTCAGGACAAATCAATATAAGATGTTTTACCTTCATTACCTGTAACACTGTGAGAGAAGGGCCAACAAACAAGCAGTGCTAACCCTGAAGAGAAGGAATGCGAACTATGAAATTAATTCAGGCTGCAGAATCACCCTGCATATCCAGAGTTCAAAGATTTATTCAAGGAGTACCTATCTGTGACCATGTCCAACACAGCTCCGAATGTTGATGCTGATTGATAGAATAAGATAAACTGATCAGACAATTTCAGAACTTAACGGCATACATAACCTTTTCAAAGTTCTTAAACCATGAAATTCAATCAATATTTATTACCTTGATCAAACTTCCGTGCAAACCAACCATCCACGCCATCCAGGACAAAACTGAAATTTTTGCAAGGTTAGATAGATGAACCCTTTGCATATTATAGTGAACATACATAGGCTGCAGAAAAGTCTATGACAATCACCTGAAGAAGTACAGGATAGCAAAGAGGAGCCTGTTGGAATAGCAAACAGCAAATGCAATGAAATTTATGATGATCCTGAAATACCCTGCACGATAGCAATTATTGAATGTTGAGTCCAATAGATTTGCATTTTTAAGACACATGCTAAAAGCAGATTATTTAATAAATTTTGTGCTTAGTTGAAATCTGAACTTTATTAAGTCACTCATCCACAAGCAAAAAGAAAAAACTTGAATTCAGCATTTAAAATAAACAGATTACATTGTTGGGGGAACTATGCGCCCCATGAAACTTTTGGTTTCTTATGTATTGATACTCTTGGGCACAGGCACCATTGCTACCAGCAGCAAAATGGCAACCAAAATACAATACAGAAGTTATGTTTAAATATGGACACCGAAAATAGAACGAACGAAGTACACATGATCAATAACAGAAAGTAAGTCATGGTTAAATATGGACACCATTTGCAAATAGTATTAATGAAATTCCAGTTAGCTCGAAACAGTAAGTGGACGTAAACAGACAACCATCAGAAGCATACCAATGATGTTAGGGATGTACAGATAAACTGACGGCATTTTTTCTGCGGATGACTGTTCTTCACTAAAATTGATGGCGGAAGTATACTTAGTGGGATTCCTGCGAGATAAGAGATGGAGGAGTGGCGGAGCTGGTCAATATTCACACCTAAGGCCATTATCAAAGTGTGTATACCACCTGCACAGGATCAAATAACCCACAACAGGTCTAATACTGGTAGATAACAAAACAAGCTCATAAATGCATAAGTTTATATTAGATGATATCTCAATTTCATGCTTAAATCTTCAGTATACTTGATGGTGAAAAAAAATTGGTAAAAAGAACCTAATTAAGTTCGCCCTCACCTTTCATATTCAAATATAGCATTTTAATGTCATGGTCCGTATAATTCTATAGTTCTACGAAAATTGACAAAGACATATAATCAGACTTGTCAAATGGCAAGTGGCATGAGTATTTATGGACTGGGAAATTCAACGTTGAAACAAAGACTGGAATTTGGATTGGGAGTGGGAAATTTACCTTCCTGGAGACCGGAGTTGGGCCATGCTTCTGTGCGCGTGTCGACCGGACCGGCGACCGCGCCCACGCCAAGCCCGGGCGCTGGGCTGCCCACCTCCGATTTGATGCCCAGCAGCAGCAGCACTGTGGGCGAGGGGACGACAGTCTGCTCCGATTTTATGCTCCACCGCCAAGTCCCTTTCTGATCTGATGCTCCGGCGGCTAGGGTTCGAAGCAGTACGACCAAGAGCGGCAGGAGAAAGGAGAACGAGAGAGCGGGATCGGCGGTGGTCTCCGAGACGCGGACGGCCGGACGCTGTAGCAAGCGAAGGCGATGAGATTTGGAGAAGGGCAGAAGGCGATGCCTTTTCTTTTTAATATTCATTATTATTTTCTGTTTTCTATTTTCTTAATATGTCAAGTGGGCCCTACTTACTGCCAGTGGCAGACGGGAAGCATATGATTCTGATTCTTCACAATCCATCACTTTTTTTTTTTATGAACGACGCATAGGAATATGAAGTAAAGAATTAAGCTACAGAGGAGACACACGATTTAACGTGGAAAACCCCTCCAATGTGAAGGGGAAAAACCACGGGCACCAGCCAGCAACAATCTCACTATCTCAAGAGTTTTGGGTTACACGCCTATGGTGGCTTACAAGAGAATCAAGTCTCCACGAACCCCTAGCAAGGGAGTATATACCGTCAGACAGTCATGAGGGCTCGCCTCGCACCCCCGAGCACTGTGGGCGAGACACGATGGGCGGCCCAGACTCCACTACGCTCCGGCCCAAGCCTCCGGCGACGGGCCTCCGCTCCGCTCCGTCAGAAACCCGGCCTATATCCTGGAGTGAATTTGGAACAACTCCAACAAACTCCACCTTGAGACAAAATTCATCTTGTATCATAAATCAACCATTCATCCTGAACATAACAAAGATAGAAAACCACTGGTGCCAACAATAGTCTCTTGGACTATCCAATTAAACCAACTAAGCTTGAGCACAACTCAAACTTAGCAGCAGAACGAGCTTTGTCATCATATCGGCAGGATTATCATGAGTACTAATCTTGCATACCTTGACTTACCTTCTTCAATCACATCACGCACAAAATGATACTTGATATCTATGTGCTTAGTTCTCTCATGGAACATCGATCTTTAGTGAGGTAAATTGCACTTTGGTATCACGGTGCAAACTTATGCAAGATTCAACTCCACAAAGCTCAACAGTACAAACCTTTCAACCAAATTAATTCTTTGCACGCTTCACAAATAGCCATATATTACGCTTGAGTAGTAGACAAAGCAACAATTGATCGTAAAGTAGCCCTCCAACTCACAAAGACAATCGCTTAGCAAGAACACATAACACTGTAAGTGATCTTCGCTTTGTCGGATCAGTGACATAATCGAGAATCCACATAGCCAATAAGACCCTTATCAGTTCTTCCAAACTTAAAAGCAATCTCTTTGTGCCTCGAGGTACTGAAAATCCACTGAACTGCCCTCCAATGTTCTTTGCCAAGATTAGACATATATCTACTAACAAGACTCATAGCATATGACAAATCTAGACGAGAGCAAACCATGTCATACATCAAAGACCCAATGACACTAGAATAAGGAACCCTTGACATGTATTCAATCTACTGCATACGTACTAGGACCTTTGAGCGGTGACAACTTAAAGTGAGGTGCAATAGGGGTACTAATGACCTTAGCATTTTGCATGTTGAAACGTGAAGAACTTTCTTGATATAATTTTGTTGACTAAGAAATAGCAAATCAGATTTTACATCTCTACTAATTTCCATACCAAGAATTTTCTTAGCATTACCAAGATCTTTCATATCAAAACCACTACTCAATAGCTTCTTTAACTTAATGATTTCAATCTTACTCTTGGCAACAATCGACATATCATCAACATATAACGACAAATATATAGGTGATCCATTAACATGCTTGATGTAAACACGACTATCATACTTAGATCTTTTAAAAGCGTGTGCTAACATAAATGAATCAAACCTCTTGTTCCACTTGACGAGGGACTGTTTCAAACCATACAAGGATCTCTTCAACTTGCACACATATTTTTTCCTTGCTGTGCACTATGAACCCTTACGGTTGGTCCATGTATATGTCCTCCTCAAGCTCTCCATGCAAAACGCAGTCTTCACATCTAAGCGCTCAAGCTCAAGATCATGTGAAGCGACAATACTAAGGAAAGTACTGAATTGAACTGTGTTTTACCCTTTGGAGAGAACACATCATTGTAGTCAACACCGGAATTTGATCTGTAGCCTTTAGCAACTAACCTTGCCTTATACTTTGGAGGCTCGCTTGGAGATAAACCCTCCTTTCTCTTGAAGATCCATTTGCGGTGATGGTCTTCTTATTTTAGGCAAAGGTACAATCTCCCATGTCTTGTTCTTCTCAAGAGAGTGCATCTCCTCATGCATAGCAATCCAATTCTCAAGTATCACCACAACAAATAGCTTCTTTATAGGTTCTTTGGCTCATGAACATTCTCCACTGTTGGCACAACTCAAAAGCATAGTAAGACAAATTACACTCTTCAATAAGGCGCTTAGGAGGTGCAATTGTCTTTTTTGACTTCTGCGTTGAGCAATAGGTAAATCCTCCTCTAAGCGCAAAATAGGAGGAGTTTCTTTGAACATCATCATGAGCATCATCCTCGGCAACATCATTATCATGGTCACCATGCTCATCAACAGCTCCACACGCTTTTTGTATCATCATCAACATGCTCCACACCGCATGCGCATGTCTGTTGTAGCTCTTTTTACGGAACATGATGCGAGGGCAACCGTCAATAAACATCACAGATTCATTGAAAACAACACTTACGCTCATAAAAAGTCTTCCTGTTTGAGATTCCACAATTTATAGCCTTTGACTCCCGAATTATAACCAAGGAAAAGACACTTAACAGCTCTAGGCTCTAATTTTCCATTATCAACATGAGCATAAGCGATTGCATCCAAAAACTTTCAAGCTGTGAATAATCGTGAAGCGTGCGGACCATACCTCAATGGGAGTTCTTTTATTTAGTGGAATAGAAGGCGACACTGTTTATCAAGTAATGAGCGATATTAGCGACTTCAGCCCAAAAATGCTTGCTCATCCGGCATTAGACAAAGATGCAGCGGGCCTTGGACATGATGGTTACATTCATGCGTTCGGGCACACCATTCATTGTGGAGTAGTATGGGGTATGGTGTGATGCCTAACAATGCCTTCCGATCTGCAATAATCATTAAATTCACGCTTGAACAAAATTCTCCACCATTATCGAGACGAAGCAATTTTACCTTCCTTTCGGTTTGCCTTTCTATCATTACTTTCCGGTCCTTAAAAGCGACAAAAGTATCATCTTTACTTTTTTTAGAAAATAAGGCCAAACCCTTCTAGAGTAATCATCAATAATTGTAAGCATATAACGAGCACCACCAAGTGAGGACTTACGGAAGGGCCCCATAAATCGGCATGAAGATAATCAAGAGTACCTTTAGTGGTGTGAATGAAGTGTTGAAATGTACCCTTTTATGCTTCCCGAAAATACAATGCTCACAAAACTTTATTTTACTTGAAGTGCGACCATCCGGCGTGAGTTTCTCTTCATCAATTACGCCATACCATGGTGACTCATATGTCCCAAACGCATATGCCAAAGGTTAGTTTTACTAGGTTCATCATTAGTAACAATGACAGCAAATGAATCGAGAACGGTAAAGTACACCCTCTAAGGACATATAACTGCGAATTAAGATCACCTTTCAAGCAAACAAGAGAACCTTTTGATACCTTGAACGCCATCTAAACCGGAATATTTGTAACCTTACGCATCAAGCGTGCTCAATGAGATAAGATTTACGGACATCCACGGTATATACGGCGTTTTTCAACGTCGTCGTGTCATGCCATCATCGGTCTTGATCTGGCGATCCAATCCCCACAATGTCACATGGGTTATCATCTCCCATCCGCACAACATCCCCTTTACGCACGAGGCTTATCTGAGCTAAACCAATTTTTGTTAGTGCAAATATGAAATGAACATGCGGAATCGAGAATCCATTCATCATGACCAGCAACACAACCAGCAAATACTACCAGACAATCTCTAGAATCATCATCAGATGCAGCAGCAGCAACAGAGACCTTACCAGCCGACTTGTTTTTCCTCTTCTCCTTATTCTGTACTTTTCTGCAATCCTCAACATTATGATTTGTTAGCTTGCAATAAACACAGAACTTTTTATTACCATGCGGCTTGGACTTTGAACGGCCTCTCCTTTCGTAGTTCTTTCTTCCATCATTGCCATCATTGGAGGATCTGTTTTCCGTTCTGCCTCTCACATGCAAAGCATCGTCCTTGGAGGACGACGTCCCGTCATTCTGCACCATGCCTCTCATCTTCTCCCTAGACTGGAGAGCCTCATAAACTTCCTTTAGGGTTAGTTCATCACGGCTCAAAAGTATGGTGTCACGAAAATTTGCATACGAATTTAGCAAAGAACATAGCAGTAAAAGACCTAAGTCCTCATCATCATACTTCACCTCCATCGACACTAGGTCGGCGACGATCTTCTTGAATTCAGCGATGTGGCTCATCACTGAATCCTCCTCCTTCATCTTCAGGGTGAACGACTTCATCTTCATCGCATCTTCTTGGTTAGATCCTTGGACATCTGAGATCGATTCGATTTCAGCCATAGATTCTGCGCAGATTTTTCTCTTCGAGACACTCTGCAAAATATCATTATGAAGATGCAATCGAATTAGGGCGGCGCCTTTCCGATCCTTGCGGATCTCTTACGAGTCCACTCGGCCTTCCTCTTTTCGAAACTATCCGGCGCCTCATCATAGTCATGAGTCTGCGCGCGAATCCCCCGCATCTTGACTTGCCATAGCGAGAACCGCGTGTCGTAGTTCAAAGAACGGAAGATCGAACTTCATCGGCGTCGTCATGAACCCTAATGACAACCAAAGCTCGATACCACTTGTTATGAGCGACGATAGGAATATGAAGTAAAGAATTAAGCCACGCGAGGAGACACACGATTTAGCGTGGAAAACCCCTCCGATGTGAAGGGGAAAAACCACGGGCACCGACCGGCAACAATCTCACTATCTCAAGAGTTTTGGGTTACACGCCTATGGCGGCTTACAAAGAATCAAGTCTCCACGAAACCCTAGCAAGGGTGTATATACCGTCTGCGTGCCGTGGGGGCTCCGCCCCGCACCCCCGAGCATGTGGGCGGGACACGATGGGCGGCCAGACTCCACCACGCTCCCGCCCAAGCCTCCGGCGACGGGCCTCCGCTCCACTCCGTCAGAAACCCGGCCTATATCCTGGAGTGAATTTGGAACAACTCCAACATTTTTTTGTTCTCTTTTTGCGAGGAATTTCACAACCAGCATTGAGAATATGAATATCTGAACGCTTATATTAGTGTACAGTTAACAAAATCTCTTTACGGCTTATGGGGCATGCATGATCCATGATATCTTAAATTATTTGTTTGAGGTTTGTTATGGTGTTTGTGTGGTTCCTCTCTTAAGATTTTTTTTGCAGCGGTGTGGTTAAAAAAGAATTGATTATGTGTAATTATGGGTAGTCTTGTCTTTCACCTTGGACACTAATTTTGATTGACATCTTCCTCCTCGCGTCATGCCATCACATGAACTGGATGCTCGATCGACAGAATAGGGGCTCGCCACTACTGCCTGTATACACACAGCGCCTCAGCGACTGTAACACCTCTGGTGTTACGAGCTCGCTAAGCACTGAGAGTATGGCCTGAGAGGTAGATCTATAAATATAGTGAGTTAGTTTACTTAATGCGCTAATGAAAATCTTAACAAGAAAATAGGAAAAGTAGTTTTAATTATTTGGCACGAAAAAAAATTCTATAAACAAGAATAAAACATAACTTGTATTTAGTATATAAATAAAAAATTGAAGTACAAGTTTAGTACACGGAAATGCAACATTAACTTTTAGAAAATAGATGTTGTTAACTAGTGTTTTGGGAGCTCTAAAATCTAACTTGACGTTAAGATAAGCTCTTTTCGTTAAGTCGGCAAACACTTGAATTTATGTTTAAAGAACCATTTTGGTGAATTATATTGAGCAAAATAATTAAATAGTGCTTAAATATCATGCTCCTACCAGTTAGTACGAAGTATGGACTAGGTCATGGTGCAATTGTTAGTTGAATCCGGTAAGGTTTAGACCCTTTTAAAAATTACGGCAAAAGCGCTAAAGGTTGTTAGTTCTAACTGAACCTTTGAATTCCCTAAGTCTAAAATGATAATAGACAATGTTATGTTCACATTTAAATTCCAACAAAAATGCTTAAACACTAACTTCATGTTTTCGCACAGTTGGTTGCATCAAAGTGAATACTTGGATAGGGTGCAGTCCTCGAGTACGCTAGAGTTGTCGTGGCGTCACATGAATGTCCCTAACATCGCTAGAACGCACTGCAGTCAGGTTTTGGGGCTCCGTTCATGAATCAGCGCTTGGCTTTATGAACCTATTTTGACGTGTCTCTATCTCTCTCGATAATTCATGTAAGTTTGCATTTGATGCTCCTTGGATAGCCTTTAGGACCCTCTTAAGCCTTGGTAAAGTGGTTTGGTCTCAACCGAGCTAGTTTGGCTTTGGTCGGAGCTTTAAAAGTCATGCAAGTCACTGCTGGCTGCAGCTCAGTTAGTGTACACGGTCACCAAGCCATCCAGCCCTGATGTCGTGGCGTAGGGGCGCTGGGCGCGCGCACACACACACGTGGCCAAGCTGGTCGGTTGCTGCTACCGTCGCCTGGCCAAGGTGGGCACGCCGCTGGCCGCCAACTGCGAACCACCGCGACCGCCACTCACTTGCGCCTGGCCGTCCTATCGTCGTGTCGCGCGGCTGCGTCTGCCGTGGCTTGGACGACGTGGCGACCGCCCCGCCGTTCGCTCTACCTACCGCGCCGTCTATTCATTGGAGTCATGCCGCCGTGTCGCAACGGTGGCCCGACCACAGAAGTGATGGGACCCTCCCCTGCCCTGCCTTGTCTCGCTAGCCGCCATGGGTGAGCCCTGCTCACGTTCGGTCACTTCGGTTCAAATGCGTCGAGCCGAACTTATAGGTCCCGTCTCCTATGAGCGTGTGTGCCTGCTGCTACTAACCGAGCCGTGCCGCTCCGTTTTAACCCGCTCATGCGCCTTGTCCACGACATTGCCGATCAGAGCACCGCGCCACCGCCCACCGGTCCACCTAGTTCTAAGCATTTACAGCCTGGGTCTTTCACGCATGAGAGTTGCTTAGGAAGTCAATTAGGCGTTCCATCTTCCTCATCTCTGGCCAAGCGTTATCGATGGCTAATTTGGCGTTTTCTCGACGTCGGCCATGAAAGCCGCCGCAACAGTTGGGCTGGGGGTAAGTCCCAATACGTGGGGAGAGAGCTCCAATTGGTGTTGTCTCTGGACTTGCCTTGACCTCCTCTGCTTGGTGCTCATGTTGTTTTGTGCAGGGAGTCTGCCATCAGAGCGGTGGCGCACCGGTGTCACGCTCGGCACATCGCCGTGAGGTGCGGGCGCATGTGTCTGGGTCGTCTCATCACTCCTCTGCCTCAACCGCCACCGCAGCGTGAACTCTAGTGAGCTACTGGCGCTCATGCGTCACCGACACCACCTCGGTAGAGCTTTAGGTCGCCGGAACGAGCACACCGTGGCACGGCTCCGCCCGTCGTCGAGGCCAGCCCTCGGTAGTGCGCTGTTAAGCTCACCACCGCTACATAGGGGTACACACTTAGCGGTAGGCAAAGGTCGGCTCCTTACCCCTATGGTAGCGAGCTCGGGGTGACCAGCGCAGCCGCCTATGCCGCTGGTCACCATGCCGGCGAACGCGGGGTAGAGCAGGGACCTCCCCGTTGTGAAGGCGGAAATATCTGGGGTCCTTAGTGCAAAGCTTGTCTCTGATGTAATAGTGCTCAGTGACGCCGCGTGTTAATATGTTATGATGAGGGTTTTTCTACAAAAGGTGCGGGGGTGCACGCGGGCTCCCCGTCGCGGGCCGTTTGTTGGGCCAGCCTGCTACACGCAGTGTTCGCTTAAACGAATTAAACGGCCATTTAAACGGAGTAAACGGTAAACGGTGGTAAACTGTTTTATTTAGGGGGTAAACGAAAATTAAACGGTTGACCGTTTAAACGGTCAAAAAATAGGGAAAACAGCCTAAACGGAACGGAGATAAACAACATTAAACGGGCTAAACAGCTGTTTAAACAGCCGTTTAGACGAACACGAGGTAAATCTAGTTCAGTTTTGAATGGATAAATTTGTATACTTAAGTTTATTATATTTATAAATGTGTACACTTGATATGTTACATGCATAAATATCTATATTTGGTTCTTTTCATATGCATAAATATATATACATACCAAAATAATTGATTTTTACTCGGATAAATATGTATAAATGGTAGAATACTTGATTTTTTACATGCACATATATAATTATATGTATTTTTTTAAAGTACAAAACGGTTTAGACCGTTTAACTTCGTTTAAATACCATGTAAACAGCCTAAACGCTAAACGAATGGCGACCGTGTAAAGTCCATTTACCGTTTAGAAAAACATTGGCTACACGCGCAGGCTCCCCATCGCAGCCATTTAGGTTGCTGGGCCGAATCGTTGGGCCACCGGCCCTTTTCATTTTCTCGAGTATTTTCTAATTTAGTTCTAAGATAAACTTGTAAATTCAATATCAATTTGTGTAGCTGACCAAAAATTGTGGAACTAATTTTGTTAGGTTCTTAAAATCATGATATGTCTGCTAGTATATTTTGTTCACATAATTTTGTAATTTTCTTAGGAGCTATATAATTAATTTGAGCTACTTAATATTGTCAAAACATGAACTTGTAAGAATTATTGTGATGAATTGGTAGTAGTACTGGCCCTAAAATTTTTACAGTAGATTCCTAACATTATTAGGTGCTCACTAAAATTTTTATAGCTCCATAGGAATTAGTTTGCTAAGGTAGCTAAATGAGCCCTAGTTCATAAATATATGTTTAAATCAATAAAATGCCGAAACATCTAGGGATTTTATAACTAAAACATTGTGGGAAACTAGCGCCTAGTTCGACAACATGGATACATGGCCTAGTACATTAGTCACTAGAGCTAGCTCGTTAGCGTGCGAGGCATAAACATGGTTTAAGAGTTGCGGTTGCCATTGATTAATTATGTCTCTGCGTTGCATCCGCGTATGTCATAATAGGAACAATGATGGATCGTGGAGTCGACAGGAGTAGCAGAAAAGATGGTGCCTTGATGATCGTGTCACCATGATGGAATGCTAACTTTTGGTTATATTTTACCCAAGCAAACCCCGATGCATAACCCCTATTATTCTGCATGTTATTTTATGCTTGTGCATTAAGTTTAAGGAGTTGAATGAAACCCACTTGCATATATATATCCTTATCCTATGAGTCTTACTAGTATGATAGGATTGTATAGATTGCTATGGTACAGGACTCCGGTAGAAGTCGAGTGATTGTCTGTCACTCACGAGATATAGGAAAGATATTATTGTTGTTATTATATTACTATCACATGGAATATATATGAATGATAATTGGAGACCGGGCGGAATGGTACTTTGGATCTGGACTTGGTTTGGCATTCGAGCGAGGCTCGGATTGCACTTGT